GGTAAACTACACGTCCTTGCTAAAAGAAAAAAGAAAAAAAACACGAATGCTCCAAAGCAAAAAAAAAAAAAGAGAAGAAGCATCCAAATCTTACAAAACAGGTGTAAATATAGTCATGTTGTGTTGGGGGCTCAGGAGAGTAGCGAAACAAGGGAGACAAACTCAAGAGTGAGCCTGCCCTTTGACCTCGTGTTTATGACAAAATGCTCTGGGTACTTTGTCAGCAGCATCAGCAGCCCGTACCACGCTTTTCCCTTTGCTTCTGGTATTGCCCACTCCTCCATTGTCAGGTATCTCCTTACCCGGCTGTGATGCCATACATTCCCATAATTCTCTTGTATCTATCACACAACATCAATGCTAGTTTATGTAACATTCTCTCCCATTCCCCCCCCCCCCCCTACAAATCTCTACAGATACCATACAAGCCATGTTTCACTGTTTGGCTCTACTCATGCTTACACTAGCCCCCCTGCTTCTGAATTCATACCAACTGCTACGGTATCAACACCCACCCGAATTTAAAAGCTATAGAAAAACTCCTACACTAGTCTACATCAGCTGGTATTTAAAGTGAGAACTAACCACAGAATGAAGCTTCTCCATAGGCATCCACTCTCCAGGACCACACAGATCAGAAAGCACATTGGCAACAGATGACACAACATCTTTCTCCTCCAGCTGCAAAACTTGCTGATCGTCAGCTTCACGATCTACCCTTCCTATTCCCTCTCCCTTCCTCTCTGCAGGCATTCAATGGATACAGTCTCCCAATTACAAAGATTGAACTATAACCAATCATTTCAGATGATCAAATAAGCATGCTGGATTCAAATCACGACTAACTCAATAAGCGTAATGCTGAAATCGAAATCCTACTAATTTGCAAACAGAGATTATGCTAGAAATTAGTTAGTCTCCGTAAGAATCTGGTTCTTACCAACGGAAACGGAAGCAGATGCAGACCCGCCATATCCATCTCTCCGTAATTTCTTCCCACTGGTCCTGATA